TACGCTGAACTGGAATGGCGAAGATCTTCTGTGACTTGGCATCTTGCAACAAAGCAGCTTTGGTTAACTATCGCATGCCGGAAGTCTTGTTTAATGGCGTGCCTACAATGGGCGCTGTGTTGGCTAGCCTTCGTGTGCAGGGGGCGTTGCGGTAGGAATAGTAGGGCCTGCGCGACGATATGGTTAAGCTTGTATTAGGTTGTTGATGCTTGTGGAAGCTTATGTTATATCATTTGCCCATCAGAGTTGGTCCAGTGGGGGAGGATCAAGCACGAAAACGACGAGCTTTGTGTTGGATGGCACTTGAAGCCGTTGCACGCAGATCGTCGGTGGCGTGAAGAGAGTTTCTTTCTGGGAACCTTGTCGTGTGGCGGTGGATACGGTGGCAGGTGCTGCATATTCTACATGGTTTCTGGTGGGGACAGTGTAGAAGAGGGAAACGCTTTTGCTTGCGCTAGTAGAGGGGTCATTTTGTCTGCTTGTCGCGCCGCGAGGACGTCGCAGTGCAAACCACTCGCGGACGCCCAAGCCAACATGCAGAAGAGCTTCGCCCAGGCCCCCCGGAGCAAAAGGACTTTCTCAACAATTTACGAAGCAGCAGGATAGTAGTAGTGCGGATGTAGAATTGGCGAATGAGCAAGCAAGAAGGGTATATATCTTGATCAGCAATGTGTGGCAAACAAAATGCAGGAGGTACGACACTTTCGGCATACGTAGAGCAAGGGAATGGGCCAAAGCTTCTTGGATGAACAGACTATTACCATGCGAAGCTTCTGGGGTGTCTTAGCATATGCGAACCTATAGTGGTTCTTTGGGTAGCAGTTGCAGCAGCTTAGCTGCAACTAGAGGCGAGCAGCAGTTTGGAGCTGGTTGTCACTGCGCATTTTTAAGCGGTCCCCAACATGCAGTTGTAGCGTATCTTCTGGGAGATAACAGGATGATGCGGGTGGCAAGGAAGATGTTTACTAGGTAACATTGATCATTGTTTTTTGGAATGTTGGGTGGTGCACCGCATGGATAGGTGACTGCGAGTGTCTGACGATTTGGGAGTGGAGGACCCTGAACGTTGGGAATGCGACCGCATGGCTACGCTACCTATAGCGTGAGCGTTTGATAAACTTTCGATTGTCCAAGTGATGATGGGCAACAGCTGAAATGCCATCTGCGTCTCTGCAGTAGTTCGCATATCCACGACCAGGGAAACCACGTGAAGCATATCACTGCACTGTAGCAACTGCGTCGCCAGCGATCGAAATTTCGGGTACTGCGTTGCTGGCGTTACAGCTTCCTGGGCGAGAAACATGCAGGTTTATTCAAACTGACGTTCGTGTGAAGTGTTGAAGTTGGGGGGTGGGCATCGTTTGTGGAATGCAGGAGTGTTTGGCACGCGGCTAGCATCAGGTGCATTTGAGAAACTTGTGCTGTCTCCCATGTGACGTTTCCGACGTTGAGCAGGCACAGCAGAATGCAGCATTCGTTGAGCAAAGACAAGCGTTTTTTGGAAAATGCGAAAGTCATGGACTTAGGGTTTCAGCGAGATGACGCGTTGCAGAATATCGTGGAGGTTCGTGTGGGTTTTTGCCGTTTCGGCAGCTGGTGGAAGAAACTCTCGGTTGCTTGGAGGCGTGGTGAATTCAACGCCTCTCAGCTCTAAATTTCGGGTACTGCGTTGCTGGCGTTACAGCTTCCTGGGCGAGAAACATGCAGGTTTATTCAAACTGACGTTCGTGTGAAGTGTTGAAGTTGGGGGGTGGGCATCGTTTGTGGAATGCAGGAGTGTTTGGCACGCGGCTAGCATCAGGTGCATTTGAGAAACTTGTGCTGTCTCCCATGTGACGTTTCCGACGTTGAGCAGGCACAGCAGAATGCAGCATTCGTTGAGCAAAGACAAGCGTTTTTTGGAAAATGCGAAAGTCATGGACTTAGGGTTTCAGCGAGATGACGCGTTGCAGAATATCGTGGAGGTTCGTGTGGGTTTTTGCCGTTTCGGCAGCTGGTGGAAGAAACTCTCGGTTGCTTGGAGGCGTGGTGAATTCAACGCCTCTCAGCTCTAAGGTGGGAGTTTGCAAGCCTGCACTCTACATCTGGTATGGCGGCGCTCTTCCGGAATTCGCGTTTGCGCGCAGAACAAGCATGTGCCTTTAAATACAGCTCGTTGGGAAGAGCGTGCATTCCGTGTGCTGCAGGAGTCTGCATGAGTCAAATTGAGGGAAGAGGGAGTTTGCACACATCTGAAAGCACGTTTGCATAAACAATAAGCAGCACCCGCTGACGCTGTCCATGGGGGCATCCCATAGGCGAGCCGTTGGCAAGTAGTATTTTGCCTGCACAGGCAGCAGCTTTGCCTTTGCAGGTTTGGCAGTTAACCTACCTGCGGTAACTATATGGTTCTTGCGTGGGATGCTTCCTACGTGTTCCGCATTTATGCAGGGGAGGACTCTGTCCAGGCGGTAAGCCTTTTTCACTGGATCGCAGGAGGGATCATGGGCAGAGGAAAAAAGCCGTCACAATTATGGCTCCTGCATGCGGCCGTGAAGACTCTATGCAGCAGTGCCGTCTGCGCGTTAAAGAGCGCACGCGTGTCGAGAAGCCTGTAGCATGCGCTTTGCATCATGGCAGCTACTCGAGCAGGCGTATCGTAGCCTTCGGTATGCTGTTCTGGCAACGGGCAATACTTCGCGCCGTTTGTGGATTGGTTGTGCTGGTTGGGTACGTTTTTAATCCTGGTTGTTTCAGGGGTGCCCTGGCAAATTCCTAGCCTAAGGAGAGAGTATGGGGGCTGGCAAGAGGGATGGGCCAAATGGAAAGAGGGCTGCAGCGGCGTTCCACATGAATGTGAACACGATCCAACAGGGAGTGCGTTACGTCTAAACCTCATGCTAACCTAGTTGGGGCCCAGGTGCGACTCTGCAGGGTCGTCCTCTGGCTTGGAGGAGTCACGTGTGTTTGGTGAAAGTAAGCCGGTGCTTATCAGAACGGGAAATACAGCGCGTGGACTGTTTCTGAACGAATTAAAGGGGGGTGAGGATGGCTGCCCCACGCTTGCAATCCCATTAGAAAGGCACGCAAGGGCGTCGTGCAACCGCGCACTTGTCAGGGTGAGCGAGCGTTCAGCCTGGCCCCTAGTGTGCAGGACGTCGCGCATGGCTGTTGGCTTCAGGGAGGGTGTTCCACGTAACCGGCATACGACAGCAGTGAGGTAAAGGCAAATGTGGAAGGGTATGCTTGCTGTACTTCACATCCAGGTGCCTGTAATGGCGAAACAATATATGGATGCGCTGATCCTTGCAGCAGCTTTGCGTTTGCCTGGAAGTTGAAAGGACACAATTGGGAAAGCATGTGTTGGTGCTAAAGCCAAGCTCACACCCGAGGGTTGGGCGTGGTATTGATCGCGCTCTTCTTCTTGAGGGGCGCCAACGACGCGGCAACTTCTCTCAGCGTCTGTGCCACGCATCTACGGTATAGGGGAGACGAACGTAGACAATACACATCGTGCCAGGTGCGCGCTTTTCCATCTTGTGCTTGACAAAGTACCCGTAAGAGTACTCTTGAGTACCCGCATGGGCATGTGAGGTCAAAAGGACACAAAGGGGGTTACATGCTGCTCGCTATTTTCCTGCTAGTTCGTAGCGCGCAGTGCTGCGCAGGACGTGCGTCATTTAGACAATGGACCTAGACTGCGCGGTGTGTAGGCGGCACCGGGGGGGAGAGCTTAAATTATACATTGCGTGGCTGAGGCGATGCGATGCGTGGGAGCGTTCTGCACAAGGAATCTTTGGAGTGGCATGCGCTGACGTGGTTCGTAAGCATGTAAAGATTAAACATAATTAGAGGAGTCTTCTTTATCTCGTCAGCCGACACGGATGGACAGAGGCGGATAAGCGGATGAGACGAAATCGAGGCAGGTAGCAGCAACTTCAAACCAGATGAGCTCTAATGCGTATGCAGTAGTTGACTAACCTTCTTTTAAGAGTCCGCCGCCATGTAGCCATGCCCATGGAATGCCGATGCAAGAGTTTCTGTGCCGCCATAGTTCCATTTGCACTAAGCATGCTCCTCGCTGTTAAAGGCTTCACGGGCTCAAACAGCACTCGGCCACCGCACAGCGTTGGCGCGTTCACCCTTGCATTCTTTGGTTCCAGAGCATGAGTTGGACCTTTGCGCCAGTAACACCGGTTAACAGGTTGCTATTAACCTGAAGCAGGCGACGCATCTGTATTTCATCTGTCTGCCAGGTTCGCATCATGCATCCGGACAGCGTGGTTGTATTTTTTGTACTTGTGGAACTGC